CAGTGTAGTTACCATCAGTCACCACACCAAATTATCACAATGTTATTGGCTATATTCCCTGTGTTGTACTTTTCATCCCTGTGACTTATTTATTTTATAACTGGAAGTTTGTACCTCTTGTTCCCTTTCCCTATTTTACCTGTCCTTTCACCTCCTCTCCTATGGCAACCAATAGTTTGTTCTCTTTATTTGTGAATCTGTTTCTGGGTTTTATTTGTTTATTCATTCATTTGTTTTGTTTAGATTCAACATGTACATGAGGTCATATGGCATTTCTCTTCCTCTGACATTTCAGTTAGCATAATACTCTCTAGGTCCACCCATGGTGTCACACGTGGCAAGATTTCATTCTTTTTTTATGGCTGAGTAATTCCATTGTACATGTGTGCCGTATCTTCTTTATCCATCCATCCGCTCATGGACACTTTGGTTGCTTCGACATCTTGGCTATTGTAAATAATGCTGCAGTAAACATAGGGGTGCCCATAATTTTCTAATTAGTGTTTTTGTTCTGGGGGATAAATACCTATAAGTGGAGTTACTTGCTCATATGGTATTTCTATTTTAAATTTTTTGAGGAACCCCATACTGTTTTCCATGGTGACTGTATAGTTAACATTCCCACCAAGAGTGCACAGGGTTCCCTTTTCTCTACATCCCTGCCAACACTTGTTATTTTTCTCCTTCATAATAGCCATCTGACTGGTGTGAGGTGACATCTCACTGTGGGTTTGATACAAGGCTCTCTGATGACTGGTGATGTTGACCACCCTTTCATGTGTCTGGTGGCGACTGATATACCTTCTTTGGGAAAACATCTATTCAGCTCCTCTGACCAGTTTTTAATCAGATTATTTTGGTGTCGAGTTGCAAATTATGTATTTGGGGATATCAACCCCTTATCAGATATATCATTAGCAAATATGTCCTCCCCTTCAGTAGGTTGCCTTTTTGTTTTGTTGATGACTTTAGAAGTCTATTAATATGATTTACAACACAAACACTGTAAACAGAAAAAAACATATGCTCATCTTAAGAGATTTAAGAGAGTATTAGATGGAATTCAACATTCATTTTTTAGTTTTAATAAAAACCTTAACAGTCAACACTCATTTTTTATTTTAATAACCTTAAGACATTTTAACAAATATTAAAGGACAATTTCTATGAAATATTTATTAAATGATAGTACCCATATTACAGAAGTTCTTCTAGATTTCAGAAAAAGAAGGAACATCCCCCAATGCATTTCATGAAGTTACCATAGTCTTAATACCAAAGCTAGACAAGGCCAAGAAGGGTGGCAGAATATGCCACCCCAAATTATGACAGTTTGGCTTAAGGATTATTTTGAACTAAAGACACTTGGAAAATAACCAATGCAAGAAAGATACTCTGGCCTTCCTTTTTCTTCCTAAAAGCATTAGATAAAAATTCACATGTGAAAGGTACCCTTCCAGTAACAAGAAATATTCTTATCACCAGAGATGAGGGGTCAAGGTGGAGAGAAGTCTGCACATGCAGACCTTATCATATCTCCTCTTAGTCTCTCTTTTCCTTTACTCTCTTCATATATTTCAGTTACCCTCCCACAGTGGGCTGCTCTTTGTTCAACCTGACATATAAATGTTTAGACCTAGTCACTACTGTGGGTCTTCATTTCCCAATGAAGGCTCCCCGATACATTCAAAGTCTTGGGTTCTTTTCTCCCGCTAATTTGTCTTGTATCACTATAATTCTTGAGCCCAGCCAGAGGCTCTAGGAGGGTAAAGTTCTACTTCCGTACAATAATATTAAATAGAAAATTTATAGCCTGATCTAATTCATGAACATAGGTATAGAAATCTTAGACAAAAATCTTATAAAACCAAATTTCAAAATCTATAAAAACAGTAAATAATTAATCATCAGGTTGAATTCATTTCAGGAATACAAAGCTGATTTAGTATTAGAAGATAAAATTATATTATTCATCTCATATGTGGTAAAGATTTTATATTTGCCCCAAATGAGATCTGGCCTTTGTCCTTGACTTCTGGGAGATAATCTCTAAGCCTCTAAGCCTTTGGAATGTCATGCCAGATGGGAGGGTCTGTACCTGGGAATTTTAGAAAATTGCATAGCCTAAAAATATGGCACAGGGTGTAGGCTGGCTATATCAGAAAGACCTACAGTGTGACTCAGGGTAGCACTTTGAGCCAAGCCTGGAGAGACTGGAGACTGACATCAGCCATATGGCAGTCGGTCCTGCCCATGTAATGGAGAGCGTGCACGGTTGACAGCGCTCTGTGCACACTGAGACTGGGAAAGTGATGCCCCCGTGCCTCTTTGGGAAGAGAACAGAAGCTCCACGTTCAGTGTCTCCTGGACTCTGCTCTGTGTGCTCTATCCTTGATTTTAATCTGTCTTAAAGTCATCAAATCAATCAAATTATTTTAATTCTCCAAAAATCCAACCAACATGACAAGCTGGTTTTAAACTTGATATCGAGTCGCAAAGAACTGAGAGTGACCAAGGCACTGTGGAAGAGGACGGGATCCTGTATGATCACATATTATCCAGATGTATCATCCAGCTTTAGCAGTGAAGACATCGTGCTATGGCCCAGGGACAGCCCACGAATAGCAGACCTGTAGACAACAGTCAGTGTTGGGGGAGAAAAGATCCGAGGGGGATGAGGCAGAGAGGAAGGGAAAATGGTTGAAAGAGAGAATACATGCATTTGACCAGCAAAAACTATTTTCCTTAGTATTTAAGGAATGAGGGGACATCAAGTTTGGTCCAAAACACAGTTCAGTTTTCACATCAAGGAAAAGGCTCAGGTATGTAATTGGAGGGGGTCCGCTGCCAAACGAAATTGCAGGTCCTCTTGTTCAAAAATTATTGATAATTTCAAAGCAGCAGCCACAGAACATTAAACGAAGTAGGAGACCTTCTAAGCTTGGGGTCCTGTGTGACTGCACATGTCACATGCCCATGAAGCCTACCTAGCCAAGAAATATCCTACGTGTCTCTCTGCAGTGTGGGGTTCGAGGAATTGACTACTGTGAGTCATACAGTTGATTCTTGAATAACATGGGGGCTGGGATGCCAACCCCCATGCACCTGAAAATTCATGTATAACTTTTGGCTCCCCCAAAACTTAACTGCTAGTGGCCTGCTGTTGACTGGAAACCTTACCAATAGCATAAACAGTCACCTGACAAATATTTTGTGTATCTATTTTTCTTTTCATACTGCACCTTCAGGTCCTTCAATGCTGTGTGTTGAATAAAAGTGGCAATAAAGTCCTTCCCTTTTTATAAATCTCAAAAAGAAAACTGAATGTTCTACCATCAAGTGTGACATTCATTAAAGGTTATTTATAAATATCCTTTATTAGGTTCCCTTGTAGTCATGTTTGTTTGTTTTTTAAAATCATGCATGGATATTGAATTCACCAATTTTTTTCCTGCAATGATTGAGATGATGTGTGGTTTTTCTCTCAATCTGTTAATATGGTGAATTACAGTGGTTGATTTTTCCATTAAGACCAAAATTCAAAATTACATTTTTGAACAAACCCAATTTGGTCATGAAATACTCTTTTTTACATATCACTGGATTCTGTCTGCAGCACTAGAATATAACCTTCATGAAGGCAGGGGCTTTTGTCTTTTATTCTCTGTTGTGTTCCCACGTTGGATTTGTTGAGTGAATGGATGGATGGATGGATGAATCCCTCAGGAGTGTGACATCTCATGAACAGGGGCCCTGAGCCCCTGGCTACCTGGGGTGGGGCGTTTCCCCTGACCGCACAGGGTCACGTCTCCCCAGCACATATACACTCCGCTCTCTAAAGGACTTGGACGTGCGACCTGGGGAGCCTGACTCCTCTCGTGCTTCCTCACCAAAGCACCTCAGCCTCCTTACCCATTTCCTCACCTAAGTATTGAAACTCCTTAAAATCTTTATTTTTTAATTAAGAAAATTTAAAATTGACGTATAATTGTCTCCTTCCGTGTTATATCTAGGACTGAGCAGAGCAATGAGTCACTTGCCCACTGGCCTCCAGTACAACTCACACAACGGGAACAGAGAAGGGACAAGAAAAGTAGGTGCAGAGACTGTGCAGCAATCCCTATCTAGCCCTGGAGATCATGCCCAGAATCCCATACTGTGGGGAGAACTCTCATCTCTTTTGTGGGAAGTGGCCTCTGAATAGACTGGAGGCACCCAGGCACATGTCTTTCATCAGGAACCATGAAACAAGGAGGGCGAGGGTGAGCGTGTGCTGTGAGATACGAGGAGCCGGCTTTAGGAGCCAGCGGGGCATCTGCCCCACTTGGAGCAGGAGCTCAGTGAGCTTCCCTTTCCTCCCTTGCTCTCCACTGCCTGCAGGGCAGCACAAATGAGAGGGGCACTTTTCCAGGCACTGTGCAGTGCTGACACTTGCTACTACTATTGCTGCAACGAACTCCATTCTTACTGCCACTCATTTGACCTGTCTGCAAACTCTTCCCTGATCAGTCAAGAGCCCTCCCTCCCTGGTCGGGGATGAGGTCTCACCGAGCTGGAAGGGAGACCTCTCTGGACTCTTGGAGAGGGGCCATGCTATCTTGCTCATAGTTCAGTCCCCTGGTCCAAGAGTAGTACTTGGCATATGTCAGCCGTTCCAAAAATATTCTTTGAATAAATGAACTTTAAGATCTTTAACTGTCTCATATTCCTGAATAATGAGTGTGAACCTTGCACCTTTCTAAGCTGACTTAGAGCTGGCTGCAGGGGTCTAGTGTCTGTTGCCTGAAAAGCTGCTAAGGATGTAGTTTCCCCCTAGATGAGGAGAGGTGATTTATGGCCAAGGGCCCCTGCCCAGTGCCCGATGAGAGGCAGACTGCCTGGGTTTGAATCTCCATGTATGCCTGGACACAGTGAGTGCCTACTGAATGCCATTCCTTATTTGACAGCAAATTAGGGGATAACTCGAGTGCCTGGAATCCCCAGAAAGCTGGAGAAGAGGATCCTCTCAGGAGGGAATATTCAGTTCTCTTGTAAAGAGGTAGTGGGGACATAAAGGGGTCAAGTTTCAGTCACCTCAACTGAAAATGGAGGTGAGGCTTTGAGTCTACTGCAGTCTAAAGTAGAGCCCGAGCTCCAAAAGGCGGAAGGGTGAGCCTGTTTAGGGACACATGGTGACTCCAAATCTCCAGTTCAGTCCTGAAAGACTGGATGTGAACAAGGTGAGGTCCTTCTCCATCGTCTTGCTCCAGGGGGCTGTCTTGAAAGGGTGATGACCACAGGGGTGCAGGTGAGGCAGAGGTGCTCACTGGGTGGGTTAGTGAGCCCTGGGGCTGTGGGGATGTCCATGTGCCCCTCCCTGGGGGTGGGTCTGCCTGATTCCTGCCCCCCGTCATCAGCCACCTTCCAGCCAGGGGTGGACCTTTGACACAGCTCTGGTGGGTGAGATCTTAGAAAACATTCACTCAAGGTCTCTGGGGCCTCTGGAAAGGGTTTTTGCTTCCCTGATAATAAATAGTCTGAGCCAGCACCCCTTATGTCTCCCTTTGTCTCCCCTCTTCTCCCATCCTAAAACATGGAGAGGTGATGTCTACAGGTGCAGCAGCGACCGTGAGGTGATGAGCATGGAGGCGAGCACCCCCCAGCTAAGGACAGTTGGGGAGGGGACAGGCGCCTGTGTGTCCGGGCTTTGTGGCCTCCATCTGCCCTGGCAGTTGAGAAGAAGGAGCTCCCTTGGTTCAGGTGAGCGTGGTGGTCTCCTTGCCTCTGAACAGATCATGAGGACTAACTACCGCTTCGGACCGTGTGCCCTCGTTCGCAACACTCGCCCCGGGACCTTATGATCACTGGGTCTTTACCTCCCACTCGGTCTGAGTTCCTTCGGGGTCTGAGCTTAGTTATTTCTCTCTCTGCAGGATAGTAGATGTTCAGTAGGTGCTTGGTGAGTGAATCCTTTTCATGTGACATATTGATACGTGAGCTTGCAAGTCAGGAACTGAGGCTCTGGAAAAGATTTCCCCAGGTTTCTGGTTCAGCCGGGAGAGGATGATACTTCTATAAAGAAACCAGGGCACCTGGAGAGATAAGGGTTCATAAGCCATCAAACGAATGTTTGTGATTTTCCTTATTTCTGAATGTATTATGGCAAAAATGAAGTATACAGAGAAACACAGAAATTCAGACATTTTACCAGATAATGAAAACATGCTCTTCTTAGACAGAATTAACCTTAATAAGAACATTGACATAGAGAAAAGGACGAAATCATCTTTCTTATTAACATGGCTGTGCACTCATGAAATAGTCCTTTATTTTGCCAGAAAAATCTAGACATTTGTATTTTAAAGAATGTGGAGTCACAGCTGGTTAAGAAATGCCCATTGACCTTATCAGCTTCAATCAGATGTCCAGCTCCGCCTCACCTTGTAGGTGTACTTATAAAAGGCTGTGTCCCAGGGCCCCCCTCCCCTCCTGCTGCCCCTTTGCCCAATGCTGATGCCATTTCCTTCTGCATCTTGCGGCTACTGAGCCAATCACCCAGAGCCTTCCATCGTTTGCATTTCAGTTGCCCATTTCTCTGCAGTTTCTGTCTTAAATGCTTCTGTAACAACATAGATCTGCTGGGGTCTTTCAACCCTTAAAGGTTTTAATCAGATTGGCTAGAATATCCATCTATGCCTGTGGAAAATCTAGCATCTTCTCCAAGAGTTCTCCTAATTCCCAGAAAGCCCACGGCCAGCCTCATGGCCACCTCAAGCTCCTACTTCCTACTAAGTTTCACACTGGACTTGTGCCAACTCCTTATCTTTACTTTGGGATCAATACAACTGGGGAACTCAGGACCTTTACTTAATTTACATTTCTGTTTTGAAAGCCAACTAATTAATAGCACGAAATGTGACTTCTTCCTGCTAAGTGCCATGTAAAGCTTTTTGGTGAATGTTTTTTCAACCTGTCCTGTGTGGCTGTCACTGACATGCCAGGAACACTTCCAGGACCCACTGGGCAGGGGATGGAAAGCAAGGTGAACAAGCCACGGTCCCTGTGCTTCGTGGCAAGCCAGCAGGCCCAGTGCGGGTGGGCTCACACCACCAAGTGCAGTGGAAGGCCAGGGCATGCGATGTGCCCTCTGCAGGCACCTGCCTCTGGCAGATGCTTCCTGTTTCTGTACTGATCCACTCAGCTGAGTTGCAGGCTCCCTTAATCGCACTACGTTCTTATAAATCTAATGTCTAACTATAAAATTCCAGCTCAGAAGCTCTAATAATCTGGTCAACACCAGAAAACAAACCACTTGTACATTAGTACCTACAAAAAATCACTCACATGGAAGACAAAGTTGGTTTTTATGGTATTTACCTATGCATCCCAGGAAGAAAAAATGCTGCTATGCTAGAGGAAAACTTGATTCTTTTAAACAAGGAAGTGAGCAAGGATAGATCTAGTACCTCTGTATTAATAAATACATTTTTCTAATTTTTATTCATGAGCAAATGACTAGATTTTTTTCTTCTGTTTCTAGCCAGCTTATATATATATAGTTGACCCTTGAACAATGCAAGGATTAGGGTTGCCAACCACACATGCAGTCAAAAATCCACGTATAACTTTTGGCTCCCCTAAAATTTAAAGGCTAATGGCCTAGTGCTGACTGGAAGTCTTACCGATAACATAAACCATCAATGAACACATATCTTGTGTGTTATATGTATTATACACTGTATTCTTTCAATAAAGGAAGCTAGAGGAAAGAAAAATGTTTTTCAAATTGTCACAAATCTCCAAAAAATTTCCAATATATTTATGGAAAAAATCTGCATGCAAGTGGACCCCTGTACGTGAAACCCATGTTATTCTGGGGTCAACTGTAACCGGTAAGTGTTGATCACATTTGAAGGAATATCTTCTGAATTTAAGGTGGGCTTTGGGGCCCTCTAGTGGCTTCCTGAATATTAAATACTGAAAACTACCATTAAGCTAAGAGAAAAAAATTCTCTTTAAATTTGGTATTTACCATCTCTTAGAAGCTTTAAAGACAGATCATGGAAAAGTTGAAATAGCTCAGATGTATCCTTTCTCTTCTTTAAAAATGAAATATCATCATATATGCACTCCCATAATAGCTTTATATGGAAGTAGTTCCTTACGAGTTATAATGTAAGGATCTAATATTTTCAGATTTGAAATCAACATGCTGCACCAGGGCGCCAGCACCTTGTAAGACGTATCTTACCTTTGAATTGGCTCATTCAATTAAAATATTGGCTTTTTGAGGTATGACAGAAATTTGGCATCTTGTGGACAGACAAGTTATTGGGTTTTAATCTATTCAGACAAGTAAAAGAATTTAGTGCCAACCAACCTTTGTGCCTTTCTTCAACTGGAAAGAAATCCGCCTAAAGCCATCCTCGCATTTAAATGGTAAATTGATTTAAAGCCCTAGCTATAGATGTCCCCTTTCAAAGAAGATTCCTGAACTGTCAAAAACTGGCTCTCCAAATACCACCACTGTGAACTGCTGATAAGACAAATCTGAGTTTATCCTTCATCTCTGTAAGGTAGACACTGCCTCGCAGAGCTCTGATGTGGGCTCCACTGGGGTAAGGCGTGGACAGAATTTCCTGAGAGTGGAAATGTCATTTAAGGTGAGGGCTAGAATGGGGTAAGGGCCACAGTGCAACACTCCAGGCTTGGTGGAAATAATCAAGACACCGGGTTCAAACAATCTAAGGTGCAAACTCTCTGTTGATGTTTTTCCTCAAAGAGGGGATGGGGTTTGGGGGATGTTCCTGTAAGGGGCAGTCAAGTCGTTTGCCTGGGCAGGTAGAGCTGCAATGAGCACAGAGGAACAGAAAAGGCTAACGGGACTCCAGGGGCGGTTTGGGTTCTGGCGCCAGGACACCGGCCTGACAGCTGGCATCTGATGTGATGACGTCCTTCTATCAACCCGATTTCTGCAGTTAACATGCTTTTTCCAGTCTTGAGTAAGCTGTGTTTTTGAGAGAGGAAGGGTACAAAGTATCAGAGAAATTGCACCAGACGCTTGTTAAAAATGGTAGGACACAGCAATGGAGCGAGGCCCTGCAGAGGAGCCCTATGCCCTAGGGGTCTACAGCCCAGGGGCACGGTGTGGAGCTAAGGGATGGACAGTGAGCAAAGGCCTGATTTGACATCAAGCCTGGGGGAGGCTCTTTTCATGTGTATCTGTTCTGGCATCTGTGGTAGGGGAAGGCCTAGTCAGCAGGGAAGCTCAGAAGAGCCTGATTAAAGCTTGATATTATCATGGAAAGCTAGGAATTTGCTAACTCTTTCTGAAAGAGAAAATACATTATAACTCGAACCTGAGGTTTAGAGAAGGGCTTTGTCACGATGAGGCTGTCCTGGACACAGTAGGATGCCCAGCAGCTCCACTAAACAGCAGTGGCATTGTCCCCTGCATGGTGGAAACCACAGCTGAAGACATTGCCCAGAGCCCCCCGGGGAGCGACCTGGACTGGCTGAGAGCCCCTGTCTAGAGAAACAGGCAGCTCCCCAAACAGGACTTGTCTTACCTGTTTTTGTGTGAAGATACATCACTGCCTTGTCCTCTCAGATCGGGACAAGAGAAGCCCCTGTTCTAGACCCCACTCCACCACTTTCTTTCATCAGGAGGCCCAGGAGGAGGGGGCCAAACTCCTTCCATTGTGCAAGAATTCTTGGGGCCACAGGGACCAGGCCATCTGTAGCCCATGGCCCCTCTTTTACCATAATCCAGGTACTCAGGAGCTTGGAATTCTTTTCCCATATAGCCCCAACTTCCAAGGGGTGGCACCTGGGGGCAGGTGTAGGCTGAGCTGGGACATGCAGCCTGGGGCATCCCGGACCTTCATGGTCCTGGAAGGGCCAGAGTGGAGAAGGGGCGGTGCTCTAAGCGCCCCATGTGGGCCTTCAAGCCTGGGAATCCTGATGTGAGTGTGGCCTCCCAGCCTCAGGCCGTTTGGGACACCAGGGATGATGACGCCAGAGGTGGTAGGGACCAGCAGAGGCTCTGTGGCAGCAGCTTGCTGTGCTTCTCAGACAAGGTGGGTGAGGGGAAACTGAGCCGTGGGATGCAGCTTCTACTGGCCCAGGCTTCAGAATCACCCTCTGCATCTCACGGTCCAATGGGGGCAATGTGGTGGGAGGAAGAGCTGGGATGGCGAAATCACTTGTGTCTGGGTCACAACCTGCTCTGCCCATAGCATCTGTGTGGCAACCACGCGAGGCCAGGACGCAGTGGGGATGCCCTGACCAGGCAGAGAAGGGGGGACACCCAGGGAGGGTGTGGAAAGGCACAAACATGTGTGCAGATTGCTTAAGTGTTTGGGAGTTGTTTAGGGAATGGGCAGACCAAGGGTGGGGTGGGAGAGCAGCATGCTTGGGGAGAAGAGCAGGGGTGCGTCTGCACAGACCCGGCACAAGGGCCCTGAGGGCCCCTCAGAGGCGTGAACACATTCTGAGGCTTACTAAGCAGAGAGGGAATCCGGGCCAACCTGGCATGAAGATGGAGAGAAAGTAGAGGCAGGGAGATGAGAAAGTTGTTCTTAAAATTCTGACAGATACTGTGCAAAGACTGGGCATGGGAAAGAAGAGGAGAGAATGGGGACATTTGCAAAGCCTGCATTGCTATTTTATTAATATGGAATAACATGACAGTTGTTAATATCACTCCACACACACTGACTCGTACATGCACACTTTTGGCTTTTAAGATTTTTGGCATAAAAGATTTTGGTTTTTACATGTAGCCACACCAAATGAAATTTTCAAATAGGACTTTACAATTTTACTTTCTTCTTCCTTTTTAGGACATGCACCTCCATTTCTTCTTAAAATTTGCATTTTGCTCGTGTGTGTGTGTCTGTGTGTGTGTGTGAATGCATGTGTGTCTACATGCTTACTCTTTTCCAGCCACTGTATAAAACTGGTTTTTCCATAAATATGATTGCAAAAATAGAACTTGAGGCTGAGGGAAGAGTGGATGAGGTTATATTTGGAAGCACAGGGCCATTGGCATCCCTGAAATCACTCAGCCTCTGTGCTCTGAGTGCAGCCACACAGATACCTCTCCACACCACTACCCACATGGCATTGACTACTCAACTAAGAAGCAAAAGGAGAAAAATGTTCAAATTTAAATCAAGAGAGCAGATTCTCTGGGCTTCATTTTTTGGTAAAGATTGTCTAAATTCAACATTAACTTGAGTCTATAAACAACTGCCTCCAGCTCTCTTCAAGAAAAGGTAACAGATCTGTACTTGGAAAATGTCAACAGACAATGACATCACATTAACCTTTTGCAGGATGCTGAGGGCAGAGAGATGTCTGGGTCATTAACATGCTTCTCCACAGCCGCAAAATTCCAAACTTCCAACAAGTTCTTGGACTGTCTCCTTTGGGTCCAGTGACTGTCAAATACTGATTAGAACATTGCAGAAAATGGGCTCACAAGGCCTGGAAGAATTCCAAATCATTTTGTGGGCTCATCAAGCCCTCTGTGCACACTGGGAGAAATGTGGGCAAGGCAGCAGCTACCTTAAGGAGCACTGAGTCCCACACAGATGCCTCTGCACAATGAGTTTTGATACATGTCCAAGTTCATGGAATCGGATCAGGACATCTGAATCAGAAGAAGCTTTCCAAAGTCATTTAAATCTACCACTCTTTCCCATTTTACCTTCACACAGACATACGTAATTCTTTAACATTTACTCTGTGCAAAACACTGGAGGCAGTGTGACCCAAGAGTAAAGCCCTACATACTGGTCAGCCAAAGCTAAGAAGGAAGGGGCCATGGAGAAGCAGCAATACCCGGCCTAACAGAAAGCTGCCAGGTGGAGCGAGGAGTTTTCTGAGCATAGTTGGAGCAGCAGAAGGGACTCCCTGTGTGGACGATGTCATCAAAGCAGCGCCATGGAAACGGGTCACTTCGCTGATCAGCACCATGTGAATCCCATGTGCTGTCGAGCTCTGGACTGTTCTAAGCAAGCCTGGGTTTGAAAGACTTCGTCCTCTTAAAGAAGACTGTGGAGTCTATGTTTGCCTGAGGTGTTACATAGCCTTACGTTTGCACATTAACTGACCTCCTGTTTTGACATGGACCTCTTACTTGCTGTTTCAGTTTCCATAAAATTCAGTTGATCTTAAAGTTCATTTTCATACTGCACATAAAAATAAAAATTTGAACACTTACTCCATCCTCACCTGTATCAGTGATTTATACCCTTTCTGGCTCTAATAATGGGGGTGCATGATCACACCTTTAGTATAGAATTGTTTCAGCCTAATGAATGGCTGAGCTCATACATTTAGGAAAAAGAATCACCCTGGTAAATATTTAAAAAGTGGAATGGTCGGCAAAGCCTTCTCAGAAAAGGTAGGAGGTGAAACAGGAAGTATTGTTCAGATGGGATCGGTGTGGCTGGGCCAGAAGAGCTGCGAGGCTGAGGGATGGGATGCAAAAATGTGTGGAGGTGAGAGAACAGAGCCAGCCAGGAGGGGTCTGTGTGCCTGTTGGACCTGGTAGTATGTCCTCATACAGGGAAGCCAGAGCTAAGGCAAGGGAGGCCTGCAGCCACCACCTCCGGGCTATTCTGAAGGCAGCGATGCGTGTTGAAGCTCTCAGAGCAGGGGCATGAACAGTGAACCCTCCCCGCGACTGAGGAATTCACTCATAGAAAAAGCAAAAAACAAACAAGAAAACTCAAGGAAAAAGGTCAATTCTGATGTAAGAGAAACTGTGGACATGATATTCCCATTACAGAAATCCATTAACGATGACTTCAGCTTATGTTTGGTGAGCTGGGCTTCTTACAAACTCATTTTTGGGGACCATGCCTTGTTTCTGACACTGCCTTTATCCCTGTTGCCTGTCAGAAATGAGGAGCAGTAACAGGCCTGGGGACTGTTCATCTGAACATATCAACAGATATGTTCTCTGAGGACTTACCCTTTAAGGAAAGTACTGGGAAAGGGTGTAGGCTGCCTGGGGGCTTTATAAGTCTGCTTGGGCTGCCGTAACAAAATGCCACAGGCTGCACAGCACAAGCAGTGGAAATGTGCCTCTATGGTTCTGGAAGCTGGGAGTCCAAGATCAAGATGCCTGCCAGGTCAGCCTCTGGCCGGTCTCTCTCCCAGCCAGGAGGTAGCTGCCTTCTTGATGTGTCCTCACATGGCCGACAGGGGGCAGGAGAGAGAAGGCTATCATCCTCTTCCTACAAGGCCAGAGTTCTATTGGATTAGGGCCCCCGTCATGACTTCATTTAACATTAATCACTGCCTATCAAACCCCCATCTCCAGACATAATCACACTGGGGATAGGGCCTCAATGTATGAGATATTTGTAGAGGGACACAATCCAGACTTAGGTACAAACGCTGAATCAACTCAACACTGGAGCTTTTTCATTTACGCATTGATAAACTACGTGGAAGTTGTAAAATCATCATTGTGGCAGGCAAGAAGGTAATATTCCCTAGCACATTCTCTTTCTATTTTGTAGAAGCTCCCCCAAATCCTAAAACTGGTAAAGACTATTCTTTTTATATATTAAAGTTGTTCAAATCATGACACATTGATGAATGGGTTATTTCAAATAAATACAGCTCTGTGGGATAAAGTACACCACCCAGTGCCCCCTTGCTAATAATAGTTTCCATTTAATTAATCACTATGCATGTGCTGGGGCTTCACGTTTGCTATCTGTTAATCTTCACGGTTACACTGATGTAAACTCTCCATTGCACAGATGGGACAGTAGAATCCTAGAGAATGCAGGTAATAGTACTAAACAGAATCAGATTTCAAACTCAGGCTTGGAAGATTCCCAAGAGCAGAAATTCCATCTTGCCTTTCTTGATATCATATTGTCTTTCCTTGAACTGATGATATAACATAAAAAAAGATGTTTTCAAAAAATCAAGGTCTTGAAAGAATGAGGGATGACAACCATCAGAATCACCCAGAGGGTTTGCTGTTAAACTCCAGTGTAGCTCTCGTCTCCCACCATAAACATGATTAAGCACAAAGACCGGTCAGCAGAATCAGGATCTCTAAGGGTGGGGCCTAGGGATCTGCATCTTATACCATCACCTAAGTGATTCTAGTGGTTGGCCAGATCTGGGCCGGTAGTAGGCTGAATGGCGGCCCCCCCAAAAGACATACCCATGTCCTAATCTCTGGACACTGAATATGCCCTTATTTGGGGCAGTCTTTGCATGTGTCCTTAAGTCAAGGACCTCTAGGTGAGAGCTTCCTGGGTTTCTGTGTGTGCCCTAAATCTAATGACAAGTATTCTTAGAAGAGACATAAAGAGGAGAAGGCCGTATACAGACTGAGGCAGAGATTCCAACTCTGCAGCCACAGGTCAAGGAATGCCTGGGGTCATCAGAAGCTAGAAGGGGCAAGGCAGGTTCTCCTCTGGGGCCTCCTCTTTCTGTAAGGCTACAACCTTGAAAATGGGCATATCGCTTCCACTTCCATCCTACTGGCCACGAATTACTTGTGTCACCACATTTTACTGCATGAGAGGCTTAGAAATATAGTCTTTATCCCATGCAGTCCTGAGCCAAGCTGGACACCAGGGATTCTATTATGAGAGCAAAAAGGGAGAAGGATTTTCAGGGGCGTTAGGTGGACCAGTGGAAACAAATATGCGGAACTACGTTATGGCCTAATGAAACTGAAGTTAATTTTTTCTGAATGAGCGTTTTGGGTGGTGTTGGCCAGAACATACAATTAGGTTTCCCAGGGATGGAGACCATCATATTCAATGTCATGAAGGTCACCATCAACATTTCCACCTGGGAGAACAGGAAGGAGAAATGGCACAGAGGTGCATGTGTGGGCCTCCATCAGCCACAGTGGGGTCAGTGCACATCACTCCCCCTCACATGCCACTGTCCACTCCTCAGTAGGTGACCACATATGGCAACATGTACTGTGAGGTTTGGTCTGGCTGCCTGTCCTGGAGATTTGGATTAAACTGACAAAGACAAACTTAGAAACTCATTTACATAAGCTGTGTGTGATATTGTAGGCTTCATGAGGAAATGAAAACCCAGAGAAGCTGTGGACCCTGAGCATTTTCATGCTGGGCTGGGTGAAGAGTAGACAGTTGTGAGGAAAAATGGCAGGTTAAGGCCTATGAGGTACTGTAGCAAATGGGGGAACTTATCAAGTTCTGCGGGTTAGGCTTCTTCTCAGGGTCCTTTTATCTTTGGAGATAAGGATGGTCCTGTCCTCTGGGTACAGGAGGGCACCTCCCGGTATTTCAGGGGAACAGATGGGGGAAGTCAGAGCAACCTTCCTGCTTCTTCTGTTTTCTCAAACTCATTTGCTTAAAATACTCAGTATGCCAAGGTGCCATAGTTTGGGGGTGTATGTCCTGGACCCCATCAGGAGGGTCTGACTGGGGCTTTGAGATGCCTGCAAGCTCATAAATTTCAATAGACATTCCAGAGAAAAGGGAGGTTGGAGGGCTCCAGGTGCTTAAAGAACAGATGTAAGGAAGGAGAAAGAGGAGGGAGTAGGCTAGGAATAAGGAAAGACTGGAGGGTTGTGTCCGAGCACGAGAGATCAGAGTTGGAAATTCAACACTGGAATAGTTATTGGAGGTAAGGCCCAGGGAGAAGAGGCTATAGTGAAGTGGAAACGAGGCCTGCTGGAGCTGGGCTCAGGAAACCCTGTGGCCAGGATTAGATGGGTCACCCACACAAACATCAAAATCCTCCAGGGCGGTCAGAACAATAACAATGAAGAAGACTGTGAGCGAGATGGCTTCTGGGAAATACTTCTTATCTCGGTTTGTGAGGATATAATGCCAAGATCTTCTACAGTCATCTTGCTACTATGAGAAAAGCTTGCAGGTAAGCGGAGAGCGTTATTCCAGAAAGATGGAAGGAACTCCCAATTATTTGGCAAAAATATTATTTGGAAGAATAATAACACAAGTTATGAAAAATCAGTTGGAAATTTGAGAATTTAAATTGAAATATAATCTGAAAATTGTTCTTTCTTAATCTTATATAAATTGCACTTTTAACTTTAAAAGGAGGGTGGAAAGGGGAACCTTTGAATGAGAAGCTAATATATATTACAATCAGCAATGACTGGAACCTTATGAATAAATTATTAGACACTCTATACATCTTTCCCTGAAGTTGCCATGTATCTTAATAGGTAAATTAATGTTGGTTCAGGAAGTATAAAGTGAGTCATAGGAAGAGAATCTGGCTCAATGATCCTGAAATGTATTAAATGTCAAAGATAATAATTTAAACCTTTTTGTCTAGTTTTTCAGTAGGGGAACCCATTATCTAAATACTTTTAAGAAGCCAAACTGGCTATTGATGTAGAGTGACTCAAACACGAATATCACAGAACTGATGGCTATTGATTTATGGGACAATCCAGAATGCAAACGCTGAACCCCGACCTCATTTCCCCGCTTTTCCACTCTGTGGGTGGGTGAGCCTTTTTCACTCATTTGCTGAAAACCTTATAGATTCCTTAAATAATTTGTCAACTAGTGTGAGACATTCTCAATTGTGTTAGACATCTTCCACGTGCATCATGAGAAACGTTAAGCCCTTCACAGCTTCCATGTTATGCCCAACCTTTCTTTGCAAGGGCTGCTTTCTTGCTGTACCAGCCCGAGCATATTGGGTGCCAGCTGCATGTCTTTGAGGAACACTCAAGGCGGCTTTGCTGAAATGCAGTGAGTCAGAAAGCAGCACTCACCCCAGTGTAGCATCACACACACGGGCCATCACGAGGAGGACTTGGAAGCCCCACAGACCTCACAGAGGGTCAGACAGCACTGGAGCCTCATGACTGGCTGTGGTGGGAACCACACGTGTTCATGGACACCCAGTCCCTCTTCTTGACTCTAGGTCATAGCTTGAACTAAACAAAAAGTGATTTCCTTAATATTCCTTTTCTTCCTAGGCCCTTTCTATGGTGAGAAGATAGAAAACTTTCTGCTTTACCCCAGTAATCCAATAATACTGGTAATAGGTAGAAATACAGATATTCAAATACATGATCAGGCTTTGCAGAAGCCACTCTTAGGAAATGGGAAGAAAAGGTTTACTTAGTCCTAAATTTGACTGAGAAAATAATCACTAATTCATTAGTGGCTTTAAACTGATAACGGAAACATAGAACTCTGAAGGGCAGTC